CACACAAAGGTGAAAATGAAATAGATCATTATAATGTCACATACCACTTCATATAATTTATTCCTATCATTAGAAAATGAAAATCCAAGTATGTTGCTGGGCACAGTGCCTCACGTCTGTAATCCTAGCACTCTGGGAGGCCAAGATAGAGAACTGCTTGAGGTCAGGAATTCAAGACCACCCTGAGCAAAAGCAAGCCCCCAGTCTCTACTAAAAATAGAAAAATTAGCCAGGTGTCATGCCAGGCACCTATAGTCCCAGCTACTTAGGAGGCTGAGATAGGAGGATAATTTGACCCCAGGAGTTTGAGGTTATTGTGAAGTATGATGCCACAGCACACGAGCCTGGGCAACAGAGTAAGACAGGACAGAATAGGACAGGACAGGACAGGACAGGACAAGACAAGACAGGAGGAGGAAAGGAGGGAGAGATGGAGAGAAGGAAGAAAGGGTTCATCATACTTACACGTTCATGATATAAGTATGGGAGGGAGAGATGGAGAGAAGGAAGAAAGGGTTCATCATACTTACACGTTCATGATATAAGTATGGAAATCACAGTGCAAATGAAACAAGTTCAAACTGCCAGGTGTATAAATCAAAGTTCACGGGCTACGAGGACTCCTTTTGAACAGAAATAAAATCTGTCCAATAGAGAGGGAACATGGATAGATTTTAGAACAAAGTATTTGCTAGCAATTATCATCCTCTCTCAGAGATAAAGTTATCAGAGAACAAGAATTGGCAAGAAAGAGGAAATATCCAACACACGCCCTTCAGATGCTGGGAAGACATACTTGCAAGTCTGTTCACTTCTCTGATATATAAGATTAGAGAAAGAAATAATGCAAGTCGATTATGAGGAAGCAATGAGGTTACAAACGAAAAAAAATTTTTTTTTGAGACAGAGTCTCACTTTATCACCCTCGGTAGAGTGCTGTTGTGTCACAGCTCACAGCAACCTCCAGCTCCTGGGCTTAGGAATTCTCTTACCTCAGCCTCCCTAATAGCTGGGACTACAGGCACCCACCACAACACCCAGCTATTTTTTTGTTGCAGTTTGGCCAGGGTTGGGTTTGAACCCGCACTCTTCCCACTGAACCACAGGCACGGCCCAAGTTGAGTACTTTTTAGTAAAAGTTTCCACCAAAGGCCGGGC